AGCGCCCCCGGAGCGGGTGCTGTGGGGCCGGGCGGATGGGACGGAACAGTCACACCTGACAGCGAGGGCGGTTGGATCGCTATCTGCCTGAGCCTGAGCTCGCATCCTCGCGCCCTACAGACCTGGTGTTTATAGAGAAGCAGTGCTCTACCTACGTCGCTCTTCCGTCTCGGGCCCTGCCAGTGACCCGCTGGGAAGTAAGACCCGCTGATCTTTTTAACAAAAGCGTCTCTTTGTTAGCATCAGCGAGAAACCCACGGGTGACAAGCAGACTGGGCTGGGAAGGCACCGGGGACTCCCACCTGCGCGGACCTCTGCTGGTGCCGAAAGGGTGTGCCGGCTTCCTTCCACCCGCCTGAGCAGGCAGGAGAAAAACCAAAGCAAATGGCTCCTTCGAATTCGGGAACCAGGAAAGGCCTGTGTGGGCCCAGGGGCACCCCCTGAGGCTGGAGAGAAGCAGGCTCCTTGCCCATCGAGGCCCCACAGAGCTCAGCCCGGCGTTTAAGGCGCCAGGGGCCACGTGCCAGCCAGCCCCCGAGAGCAGGCAGGACAGCCACCCGGTAGGAAGCAGACTGCAAAGCCAGGATGCAGATGTGCACCTGGGACCCCAGAATCAAAGCACCCCCACTCCAGGAGGCACGCAGAGCTGCTGGGCGGCGGGGGAGCCCCCAGGAAGCGGGGAGGGGAGGACACAGCCGCTCTCTGGGTCGTGTGGCTACAGTGACCAAGTGCGAGGGGGCCACTCGGGAATCCCGTCGTACCTGGTGACTGTACCCCACCACCAGCCTGAGATCCCGCCTCCCCAGGGACATGCGGGGCACCACACGGAACACGCACACAGCAACAACGCCCCACCTACTCTTTAAACATTTCATCTTTTCCTTCAAACCTGCAACGGAAGAAGGTGTCATCATTCCACCGCGTTTGCCCACAAAGCCCCTGCAGAGCTGGCAGCGTGAACGTCTCCGCTTGTCAATTGGAACAAGCAGATAGGAAGCTTTCTAAGGTTGCGGGAGGGGAACTACGGGTTTCTGTGCAGCCAAGTGATCTCGGTGTTAAACACGGAGCCTGTCCGCCCCTTTTCAGGGCCGAGGCATCGAGGCGCGCCTTGATCGCCGCTGCAGACATTTCACCACTGAGTTCGTTCTAACGTCTCCAGAGTCGCAGGGGCACTCGAGTTTCAGGTCCACGATGAATGAACCAGAGCATTTGGGTCTAACTCTACTTACTGGGCGCAACTTAAGATTTCAGTGTGAGGCCTTCCTCCGCACGTGAGGGCATCCTCAGCCTCGTTTCGGGAAAGGGATAAACGGTGGGGGGTTGTGGGCAGGATGGAACCTTCCAGGCGGGAGAGGGCGGAGGCTGATGGAGACGGTGGGCAGGCCCAGGCAACCCACTAGACCCGGCCGTACACATTTCCACTTCACGTTTCATAGAGGGTTTTAGCTACAGGGTAACAAAACGCGACAGGGGACTGTAAACTGGCAAAGGGGCATGTCTTCCAGACGCCGTGTTGTTGAGCTAACAGCGGGGCAGACAGGGCTGGCTGGGGGACAACTGGTGTCTCTGGGCCTCAGTCTTCCCATCTGTAAAATGGGGCAATCCCATCTTGAAGGGTTTTTGTGAGGATTAAATGGACCAGGTCATTGACTTCCAAATGGAGAACACGGTCTGTCACCGGGGTTGATGGGGGAAGGGGGAGGGAGGGGAAGGAGGTCCTATGGTCTCAGTCACTGCTGCGTGGCCACACTGGGGCTGCCCGTGGGCCAGCAGGAGCCCAGGAGGCACGCGGTGACCGCGCGAGCAACCTACCTCCGTTGGCCAGGAGGTTCTCCTGGACCTTGCCCTTGGCGTCCTCCATGACCTCCACCACGCTCTGGGCCATTCTCTTTATGAGGCTGTGGGAACAGAACGAAGGGCTGCTCAGAGCCGGACACTGCCCCCCAAGTCCTCTCCACCTCCGGTGGCGGGAGAAGGAGCGGGTCCGCCCTGGGGGGACTCATCTGGCAACTGCAGGAAGGGGCCGCACATGCTCTCGGCCTCTGAGCCCGAATTTCCACTCCTGGGAAACGAGCTTAAGGAAACAGACAGAGAGAAAAAGGCTGATCCATAGAATTTCAGCATAAGAAGCTGCCCTGCGCCACCGCCGGGACACCCTCTGCACCATCGCTGGGCCACTGGAGAGCCGGCAACCGCGGGAGGCTCCACCATAGGGGTTGACTGCGGAAGGGACGGTGCCTGCAGCCGGCCCATCGCCCGGCAGCCCCTGTGGACCCGGCTGCGCAGTTTCTGCTGTTGAGGAGCGAGGCGTGTATTGTCACGCTGCGTGGAAAACAAACCAGAATCAAACGCACCCAGAAAGTGGGGGTGCCACCGTGGGAGCTGATCTTCCTGCGTCAGCTCTTTTCTAGAACCATCGGGCATCGCCGCTGGAATGGGGAACGGGAACCTCGGAGTCTCCAGAAGGTCCCCCGGGGCTCAGACAGCATCGGGGGCAGGAGGACTCCCGCAGCAAGGCTCTGCCTGCGGCCAGTGTGAGGTCTGGGCCACATTCATCTCATCCCTCTGAGCCTCAGTCCTCTTAGGTGCCAGACGTGGACATCACCCATTGGGCAGGACTCTGATGCGCATGAATAGAACCAGCCGGGCATCGAGCGTGTAAGAGCAGAGTGTCCACTCCTGGAGGCTGATCCATTAGAATTTCAGCTGGAAAACTCGCCAAACCAGGATCTGAGTCTGCAAGTTCTGATGGTCCAGGTCTTTGCCTCAGGCCCTCTCTCCTGACTCCCAGGCTCCAGGCCATGGGGAGGGGTGGTGTAAAGAGGGCGGGGGACCAGGTCATTGACCTCCCAGTGGAGGACACGGGCTTCTGTGGCTGCAGGCACTGGGCGTGTTGGCTGCACAGAGCGTGGAGACCAGGGCCGGGCAGGAGGGCACTGGGCAGCCCGGATGGAGGAACAGAGGGCAGGAGTGATGCCATTTCCAAAAAAATATGCCAACCACAGGGCCCGTCCATGGCCCATGTGATTGAGGTTTCCCTTTGCTAATACCTACCACTCGGCGGAGTCCACCAAGTACCAAACATGCTATAATCACTATCTCACTAAATCCCCCCCAAAATCCTTGAAGATGGGATTGCCCCGTTTCGCAGATGGGAAGACTGAGGCCCAGAGACGTCAGTTGCCCCCCAACCATCCAGTCCATCTCCAGGCCCCCAGGCCACGCTGCTGTCTTTACAGTCGCGATGGCCCATCCTGGGCTCAGGTCTCCCCCCCACCCCCACCCCAATGTGTTGGCCTTGCTTAGAACAGCAGTTCCGCGTGTTACTAACTGTAACCTGAGCAAGTTCCCCCAGGGATCCCCACCACCAGGGAGCACCTCAGAATAACACAGTCCGACGAAGCTCAGCTGCTGGGAAGCCACTGCTGCGTGAGGACCGATACGGCCCTGGCTTCGCTGGGACCACTGACCTGTCACCAGTGGTGTCAGCGTGAGAACGTGTTTCTCGGTGAGGACGCGGCCTGGGTGGTTTTGAGTTTACTTTTCTCACGTGGCAACTCAGTGGGAACGCCTCCGCAGGTCGGAACAGCCTCCTCCCTCAGCCCCTACGCTGCCCAGTGACTGGCTCCTGCCTGGACGGGACGCTGCGCTGGGCACACGCTGGCCCACTCGTGCAGGAGCACCCGTAGGGTAAGTTGCTAAGGAGTAACTACTGGAACACCAGGCGTAAACATGCACCATTTTAGCAAATAGGCCAGACGACCCTCCAAACATGCAGACCCCATGGGTGCTCCGAGCCACAGCGAGCGCCCGCTTTCCTGCGCCCTCCCCAGGCCGGTATCAGGAATCGCTCGTCTCTGCCACTCTGACAGCTGGGCTTCAGCTCTCAGGCTCACTCTGTCTGATTTGCATCTCTTCGGTCATCAGCGAGGCCGGACATCTTTTTGTAGGTTTACTGGCTCCTCACACGGCTGTTTTCTTCTATGAAGAGTGTGTTATATCCTTGGCCAGTTTCTCTACGGGTTTATTCATTTAAAAAAAAAAAATTATTGGGCCCGGCCAGTGTGGCTCAGTGGTTGAGCATTGACCTATGAACCAGGAGATCAGCAGTTCGATTCCCGGTCAGGGCGCAGGCCCGGGTTGTGGGCTAATCCCCAGTGCGGGGTGTGCAGGAGGCAGCCGGTCAATGATTCTCTCTCATCATGGATGTTTCTGTTTCTATCTCTCTCTCCCTCTCCCTTCCTCTCTGAAATCAATAAGAATATTTTAAAAAATCCCTCCCATGCCTTTAGTCGTGCCGAGGGAGTGTGACCATGGTAACATCTGCCCACCCGGCATCACACCTGGGTCACAGCGGAAAGGCCTTCAGAGACCAGGGGGACGTGGGCACTTGCCAGAGGTCACAGGCTCCCGGGTAGCTGGCCAGGCCCGAAACAAGGCCTCACTATTTCCCGTCTCGATTTTAGGGTAATAAATTGGATGCACTAACAGTATTTTTTCCATAGGCCCCTCCTCATTTAAAACCCTTGCCTGTTCACCCTAAGAGGGATTTGTGGGTTGGTTTGTTTGCTTGGTGTGTGTGTGTGTGTGTGTGTGTGTGTGTGGTGTTTTTTTTAAGAGGAAAGCAGTCAGCTCGCGGGCACACATTTCTCCAGGCTGCAGAGGCGGCTGGGACATCCCCGGAGCCTCTCCAACCACCAGGCTGGGGTTGGGGTGCGAGGTGACTGCCCGTGGGTGTAGGGTTTCTTTCTAGATGACAATGTTCTGAAATTCCATGGTGGGGGAGGGTCGCCTTGCTTTGCAGATGTACTGCAGCCGAATGAATGGCGCACATCAAAGGGGTGCGAGGACAGTGTGGGAATGATTTCTCAAATGGCAGCGGCATGTCCTGGCCTCTCTCCTGGCTCTGAGGGTGGGGACCCAGCCTGGAGGAGAGGGACAGGGCTGGCCTGGCCCTGATGCTGGAGGCCACGCTCTGCCAAGGGCCTGGGCTCGGCTCCGGCTTTACAGTGAGCGGGAGTGTCCAAGCCCAGCCCAGGGTCTCCTCCTTGCCCCAGGCTTCCTGCCACAGCCTCCTGCTGCTCCCCCCACCCCCCCTTCTCTC